TTTTAAATATTTTTAAAGAATTATTTGCAAAGATACGGTATTTGTAAAAATTTTATCCGTGTAACGATATACAGCATACAATACAATTTTCTTATTCAGTGTTGACGGCTAAAATTTGTGGGGCGCGACCGCGTAGTTGGATTTTCGCGTCGCGCGTCCAGATTTTTTATATTTGTAGTAACTTTAACGCGCATGAGATAGTGATTTAGTCATAAAGGTTTGAATAGTCATCATTGTTGCCCGCGTGATATTCTATCATTACGCGCAAATAGATCATTTCTGATATTAAAAATTGTATAAAAAGGAAGAATAAACGATGTACTGTAATTAAGAAACGGCAACTGACAAACAATAATAATTAAAAATACAATTGAGTGAGATTTGAATTTCTAAAATAGGAAATTTTTGGTGAACAAATTTATCTTTGCATCGAGAGAGAGAAGAAAAAAGGGACATTTGTTGATAAAAAGACTGTCAAATCAAATCACACGTCTGAACTAGAAAAAAAGCTCACCTTACTTGATTGTCACACTAGACTAGTTTTATTAATTTTAAGACAATCTCAAAAATAAAACAATACGATATTACATTTCTTTTCAATTTAACGCCATGCTGTTGTCACTCCGGTTGAAAGAAACACAGCTCCATTGGCTAAACAAAATAAAGTTTGAGATTTGGTTTGGTACAATAGAAAGCCGTGTTATCGTTATTAAATTTGTGCTTGCAAAAATAAACACTTTAATATTCACTCCCCATACCGTTGTGACTTTTTTAGGTAACCAAATTAATAAAGTACTGTGATCTATATTCTTATCCTCTTAATCAGCTATTCGTTTTGAAAGCTAGAAAATGTTTTAATCGTCATGATCTATTAAAGTTAATTTAATGCTACGGCAACGCCTCCTTAAGGCACCCCGGGTCATAATAAAAATACAAGCGCATGCATTAGAAAGAGATTCATTTATGGAAATGTTTTTTCGTAACATGGGACTAAACCTGTGTGAGTGCATTTTAAGAGGGAATGCTGAATGACCTTCGCCAAATGATATTTACAGTACTGCGCGAAGTTAATTTTAAGTATTGTGTAACATTAAACAACTGTACGAGAGTTCATTCAAGACCTTCCTTTAATGGTTAATTTTGATGATACCATACTTTTTTTTTACTAAAATTATCCCTAATTTTGTGTAACAAACGCATTACACGGGGGTTACCTAGACCATTCTAATCGAGGCGTGGTTTAACGTCAATTTGGCGGAGTATTCTCTTTCCTAATTTAGGTTTTCTGGGACGGTTTCGCAATTAGATAAGTTTACCAAATTTTAGTTTACAAGACATAATGATGACATTTGGTAACAAATGATTTCTCAATATTTCCTTTTATTTAGAAGACCCTTGATGCATATTATCATCTAATGTCGTGTAATGCAAGTCTCTCTAAATTTTCTAATACTGATACTTAATCTGAACATTTCCGACAATTACTTATAAAATGGGTTACAGTTAATAACCTTCCATTTACAAGTGTTGAATATTTTGATTTTAAAAATATAATATCTATTTTAACCAAGTGCATCGTGTCCCACTCTCTAAAATTATTTATCTATAGCACTATAAAACAGGTAACAAATAAATCAAGATAGTATATGAGATACAGTAAAAAAACAATCGTCGAAATAAAATAACTACAAATGCAATACATGTTTAATTCAACAATCGGCAAACCCCTTAAACCTCGGACAACGCCATTTGGTTCTGCGACGGTTACGAATTCCATAAACGGAAAATGTATCAAATATGGAAACTGGAGAAAAGATATGTCGACGATTTTATGAAAGAGACATTCGTAAAAATCAATAAATTAGAATGGATTCCTTTTGAAGATCTCAGAATAAGAAAAAAACTAGGTCAAGGTGGATTTAGTAATGTATTTCAAGCAATCTAGAATAATAGAAAAATAATATATTGTTATAGGGAAATAAGGGGGGAATTCGTCACGCGATTCTGTATCGGATATCGCGATAAAAATAAGAGGATAATGAGGATAATTGGGATAATGAAAAACTTGCATAAATATACTTGGCTTTCATTAAAAGAAGGCAGCAACTGTGTGCTCATTTACAAATAAACCTTTATCTGTGTGTTATATCCCTGTGTGTTCCATTTTTCAGTGTTACATTTTCGCTTCCCCTTGATCATGTGATCGACGGACAAAGATCGACTAAATAGTTGCATTGAAAATTCTCGATGACTCTAGAGAAATTGATTTGATATTTTTAAGCGAGGTAAATGCCATATACACCTAGTCAAAATATAAATTCATTACATTACCAACAATTGTAATTCGATAATTTGATGCTGTTTCCCTATTTTTAGACATACATATAATTGCGGAGAAACAACCCTCTCATTATTAAAATTTTTGGTGCTTGGCAAGATCCAATATTCAAATATTTTATTATCGTTGTTAGGTATTCCAATAGCGACGACTTATACAATTACTTATTTAAAAATTTTACTAGTGTTAGTTGGGGGATAAATTTTACTACGCACACAAAATTATAAAAGGAATCAAGAAAATTCATGATAAACATACAGTATGTATTATCTATCCATTGTGATTTGCGTAGTGATAAAATATTATTATAAAAAATTTTAAAGGAAAATCCAATGATCTCGGATTTAGGCTTTAGTCTTTCTATCGCCGGATTAAGAAAATTCTCGGAACAAAATAATGTATATGGAGTAATACTATACACTGCTCCGGAAAATTTACAAGGAAAATCCTTTTCCTATGCCTCAGTCAGTAGATTATCCAAAGCACGCGACCTATAATTAATCAAAAAGACTTGGGAAATGATCATCTTTGTAATGGATTACGCCTTGCGATCACAATGTTGGCACCTAATCCTTTTCAACGCCCAACAATTTGTTGCTTACATGATCGGTTAAATTCTATTTACGTTTATTGTTACGTTTATAATAAGCGTTATTTATCGATGGAGTTCAAAAAATAATTTTGTAAACCACGTTCCAATTTCACAAGGTTTTATTCGATTTAGGCAATGGTCAGTAACTAAAAGATACAGTAACTCATTATGCTATGGAAGCCTTTTTATAAAACTTTTAAATTTTTTTTTTTTTTCATTTAATAGATTACATCCCTTATGAGTTTGATTAATAGGGACATTAGATAAGATTTATTATACCAAGAGTCTTTCCTTTCCTTTACTGTACTCGAATTAAAGCGTTAACGAATTAATTCAAATTCTTGTATTTATGCTGTATATCTAACTTTCCTTTTTCATCCATCCATCCATCTATTATTATCTTGCAATTTTCACCAAATTCCTGTCGAACCTTTAACCAAAATGAGTGAGATCATGCCTCATTCGAAAGTGTTGGGTATTTGGCAATTGTATATACTATAGTATCTACCTGAACCATTTTATATTTATGAATACAAATCCTATACGCAAAGTGGGAATGTAGTACATATTTATATTTAATCTTTATTTGTCTCAACTTTCGAGATTATCATTACTGTGTTCCGATAATTTTTCATAAATGTGATGTGTCATGTGAAAGCAATGACGTTTATTAAATATTCAAACAAAGAATCCTATCCGATATAATAAAATCTTTTGGTTTTATCTAATCGAATCTTTGATGATATTGACTTTAGTATCGTTAGATTCTTATATGCATTGATCAATCCTATAATATTACTCCTCTAAGTAGTGGATGTGATTAGCAAACTATGGAAGAATCTCCTCTTGGTCATAATAATAGCAATGTATATTAAGTTTTATTGTCTTTAGATCTTTTAAATTGGCAAAACTTCTTTTACTTCATTAAAATCAAATGCTTATAATTGATAAAATTCAGATGAAAAAACAATGCGACTATTTATACTTTTGTTAATGGTGTCCTCAAGTTCTAGCAGTCTATAACGGTTTGAGTAGGGCCCAAAGGAGTCAGGTACGATAGAGCCAATGACCAGGGGGAAAGTGTCATCTTGTATGCAGTTGCGGAAGAAAAGAAAAACTGGTATGTTTGCTTAGATGGTGTACATTTGCCATTGAACTTTTCGCTGAGATTTGTTACAAATAATAGTGGTGGCGTCGCTTAATTGATTCATTTCGAGACGGTGATCAAGATTTTATTAAATGCTGGAATGCGTAAATACAAGCCTGAACAAGATGTTGTCCTTTACTAATTATGTTATTTAATAAATTTAAAACGCGTCATTTATCATCATTCCAATAATTACTGAGATAAGGTTGGCGGTAGCGGGAGGCCTAACTTTGACGTTGCCAAATACCGCGATTTCTTTTGTAGTAGTTGGGATATTGTTTACAGAAAGTGATATGTATTAATTTAGTGTATACTGTGAGGTTAGATCTTGAAGGATGCCATTTTCTATGTTCACTGTGCCCAATGTTCGGTTAATTGAAGCAACATCACGTGTCTTGAGAGTAATCACGTGATAGAGCACATGGTTCGTTTTTTCTCTTCTCTGGTAGATTCCAATAACGTTTTTTACTACTATTTATTGTACCGCCATTTAGAAACCTTTTGAAGTTTCATCCAATTGGAAAAGTGGGGGTCATAACCCCACTAATTAAGATTATAAAATGTATTTTGTTATTTTTTGTATTTAGAAACGTAATAATGACGATACTCCTTCGCCTCCGTGACCATACCTTTATTTTTTCCTCAAACAGATAAGAGAAAATGTGAAAGGGTGTCTAGTTGCAGCAGAGAACCTACCCCATAAGAGAATAGTACCGACAAAAACATGTGAAAGGCTGAGAGATTTGCTATTTAAAATTGACAGGCGTCCAACTTTGATCTTGCGTAGAAATCGCTATACCAAAAGGATTTAATTTTCATATTATCATTAACCGCAGTGATTAGCGGATTTTCGCCGTTTAATAAGTCTATCGTGGGAAAGGTGCTTTGAAGATTGAAATATAAATACTACAGTATCTTCAAAAATGGGTTTGCCCGTATACGAGGAAAAAATGGTTAAACCTTCCGCCGAGGACGTTAAGAAGTATAAAACGGTTGAATTTATCAAGTTTCTGCAGGGGCAAGATTTAGAACTCTGTGAAGCGACGTTGGGAAAGTTAAAAAATGCTGAGGTTAATGGTCATGACTTCCTCTTCAGAATGAGTGAAAAAGATTTTACTAGTTTTGAAATTCCTGCCGACCTTGCAAGAAGGCTTGCTGAGCTTGCTAAAGAAATAAGACTAGGTAAGTAATCACGATCTTTGTTTAATAAAATCATTCCATTCCTAATACTCACAATCTTGTTGCAGGACAAAAGAAAGATCAAGAAAGTGCGAATGATACTATAGTTGATGCAAACAATGAACTTTCACATATTGAGAATTTGATACTTGCCGATGTTTCACGTCAAGAAGGCACGTATGGGATATTTGTATAATTTTTGCCGTGTTAGATAGTAGTACTGATAAATTCACGTGCAAATCATATAGACGAATACGGTTATGAAATCCCAGAGAGTTGGACTGATACGAAAACAAAACTCCGGGATCTTTGCTTGGCGAAGATTATTAGGGTAAATGACGAGTTATCAGTAAACAAAAGATACGATCGTATATATGTTAAGATGAAATGTAAAGTAACCAGTACAGATCATGGTAGACTTTCTATTAGTTATTATGACGCAGAATCTGCTTACGAAAATTATTGTGAAATACTATTGCAAGGGAATATGGAAGAGAAGGATACTCCAACTTTTGACGATTACATGGAAGAATTTGGGAAGGAAGTTCGAGAGGAAAAAATCCAAGACATTTCTAATCTGCCAGATCTTGAAAAAACATTTCTCAATATACGTAAAGTTTCTCAAGAACATTGGCCCAAAATATTTGATCACTCTTATCGAGATATAGCAATCGCACGTGATGAAAAAAAGTCGATATCCATTGAAGATGCTATTAAAAATTATAGAATAGGATGGAAAGCTCTTCATAATAAAAATAGTTATTGACATATTAACGAGTATATTTATTGATAATTTTTTGATTCGAGTTCTTTTCGAATAGTTTTCTTAATATGCGCAGATTGATTATTTATTACGGGTTTATGCATAGTTACAGTATTTTACTGGTACTGTACACTCCCCTGACAAAAGTCACCGGCTGTTGATCAATTTTGATGGTAATTGGTAAACGATAGAATTTTTTTTTT